TCTAAGTGATGGGCAGGGGCGCCATAGGGTCACCTCGACTGTGGGACGGGACCGTTTGCCAGCTAGGTCCAGTAACTTTTGAGAAAAACAGCCACGTGACTTCTTTTACAGCCAAAGGTCCAAATTTCACCGATGAAATTTTTGGTCGCTTCCTTTTGGATTTTATCCGATGCCATTCCCGATCGGTGGTCAGAGGAGCAAACTCAAGGAATGGCTTGAAATTTTTTATGTATGGACCGAAGGCTGGTCACCCTTGAGGCAAACTGCGAGAATCGTGACGTAATTAGAGCGAGTCGCGTCGCCATTCTGCCTGGATGGAGGCTGAGCGGAGTCTTTTAGATATATATATATACGGCATGGAAATAAAGCTATTCGGTTGTCGAGACACTTATGACAATTTTTTTAAAAATTTGTACAGACCAGACAAATATCATCCGTATCGAAATTGGATTTTATTGGTATTTAAATTCTTGTTTATGACGTTACATTTGTTTTGAGTTTAAACCTGGTTTCTGAAGTACTACCCCAGCCCCCGCCGCAGTCCACACCCATCCATCTACAGTACCGTTAATACGTGTAGTGTGATGACGTTGCTGTTTCCCATCGTACCTCGAACGTGGACAACGGCGGAGTTTCAGGACTCAAGAATTTGGGAACGGCCACTTTTTTTCGGTTGAGAAACTGACGACCAAAAATTGAAAAAATCTGTTGCCATACAAGCGCGATGACGTAAACACTCGGGCGATGATTTTGAGCGCTGTCGGACGCGTTGAAGAGCACTCGAATAATTAGTGATAAAAAATTAATTACGCTAATTATGGAGTGCGAAAAGCGGTCGGCGTTTCGTTCGCCTGATCATTACGCGTTTCCTTATGGGAGTTAGTTTTTGCCTCTGTACTCTTCTCAGCCTGGTTGAACACCAGCTGGCATTCGTCGTGGTCATCGTGGTCGTCTTTCAGGACGGCAATGGCGGACAGAGCCGCCTACTTGCTGTCCGGCGTTAGGTCTCATTTTCCTCATCTTTCTTTGGGCGGCAGAAAGTCTGCACCGAATATCATCAAGCTCTGAAGTTCTTGAAAATGCTAATGATTTACTACTACGTGAGTACGCTTGGAAGTCTCAAAAACTGCCTTCGACACGCTTTCGCCGACTGAGCAAAATTATCGTCTGGTCTTCGAGGTCTAGGGGCTTGAAGTACATAAGCTCCTTTCGGACATTAGACACTGAATAAGTCCACTTAATTTGGCCTTTTAACCCGTCACTTACATTGACAATTTGTGTTTCACTTTTCTAATACTGTAGTTTTATTAAGCGTCACTCAAAAACGTGTTTGACTCTCTTTCGTACCTCCTACTCCAGAAGGTGGCATAGTATTTTCAAAAGTACTTGACTCTGTACAGCACTTTACAACCGATACAGTTCACGGCTGTTTAGTTCCCTTTAGCAGGCCGACCACGCTGCTTTGTCATATTTTAACCTGCCAGAATCGAGCAGCTGATGCGTTTCAACCAGAGGGTGTCGATGCGACACGGCTAATTTTAGATGAAGCTCCGTTACGACCACATGGTGATCGAACCCAATGCAGGCGCCACGCCCTCATCGAGACTCGAGGAACGAGTTGCACCATTTGTGGCTGATGAGGTCTTGGTCCGTCTGGGTGTCTGGGCTTCCACCTGTGATGACCCTTATGAAGAAAATGGGTTCCGCCGACGATTAGGCTTCTAGTGGCTCAGACACTTAACAGACGCCTGTCGTTTTCACTCTCTTCCGAGTACTCCTGCCCGTGAGTTGCCCTCGGCGCACACCTTTGCGGTGAGGTAGCTTGTGACGTGACAAAGCGCCAGCAGCTGCCCTCAAGCAGTCATACAAAGGGCGGTTGTCGCAGTCTCTCGACACATTTGTCAGGGCATAGGCGATGATGACATCCACGCGACAAATCAGGATTCTCTTCGACACGAATTCCACAGAAATGACCGCGCAGCTTTCCCTAGGGGACATTTTGATATCCTCACCGCCAAGACGGAATCTACTGTGGACTGACCATTAAAATGACACCCCTGCTGCGGGTCAGACGTCCCTTTCCTCTTGAGGGGAGCTTAGATGATCGCCATTGCATCACCATCGTACCGACGTCATCTCATTTACTTTGGCCAAACAAAGAACAAGCATTCCAGCATGCAAGATGGAACTTGTCTGTCGTGGTGCTGGTTGCTGGAATCACAGAATTTCTGCTTCCAACTTGTGGTGAGTTACGTAACCCATTTCCGCGAGAATAACACATTTGCCGCAGTTCCCTAAGAAATCAGCCTGATATATTCGACCCTCGGAAGCTGTTCGAAACCCGAAGGCCCGAACCTCTTTGTACTGTAGTGCCTCTTTTAGAAAGTCTATTTGTCCATGTCTCCGCAGTCTAAAGCTTACTCGTTATTACTATTAAAGTAGCTAGGTACTGCCAGCGGAATTTTAATGACGAGATTTTTATTTCAATGCACGCAGCACAGTCATTCACTCATTGTATTTACGGATTATGCCTTTTGTTGATTTTCACT